CAGAACTTGCCCGCGTTATAAACTGTGATTTAGCAATGAACAATCTCACAACTTTTGATACAGCAGAAAATATTTGGGCAAATTTAAATCTGCGATGTATTGAAAAATTTGGTAACCAAAACCACATAAAAAATAATATTACTATTTCAGATATAACGTGAGCCAGCATGACATTGCCAGCTTATCGCAGCTAAAATGCGATGAAAGATTATTTTTATTATATTGATAACTGGATGACAAAAATTAATAATTTCTGTAAGTCATATTTGTCAATTATAGAATTATTCTTGATTATAAAACTTTATAATAATTTACATCTTAATTTTATAGGTAATAATAATTCTCAAACTGCTGATATTTCAAATTCAGACTCTATAATAGGAGAATCAAGCTACCATAAATGTACTGAATTGAATTCACCTCTACAAGTGCCACAAGTAACTAATGAAAGTGCTAAATTGAATTCACTTTCACAATCGCTACCGGTAGCTAATGAAAGTGATGAACTGAATGCGCCACCGGTAGCTAATGAAAATAATGAATTGAATTCACCTCTACAAGCGTTACCGATGGCTAATAAAAGCGCTGATAATGAAAGTACCAAATTGAATTCATCTATACAAGCTCCACTGGTAGCAGTACCGGAAAAAGTATCAGTAGAAGCACCGTCAACAAAGGCACCAGTAAGATCACCCACATTGAAATTAGCAGAAAAAGTACCCGGTGCAGAAGTGTTTGTAGTAGTAGAAACACAAACTTCAAAAATGAAAACGCCGGTGGAATCACAAGCATTAGTTTCAGAAGTGTCAGAAGAATCTCAAGAACTAGCATCTACATCAACATCATTAGTAAAAAAACGTAAACTTAACTGTGTTGAAATTTCCTCGGATGAGGATGTTGATGAAAGTGACCATGATGATAAAACTATTATGAAAGAAGAAAAGTTGAATTCTGCCCAAATCTTTTGTTTAAAAAGGGAAAGAAACTACGTGATATTTTGTTAGCATCAAATGATGAGCAACTCGTTACCTCAGCACCATCAAAAACTTCTGCGATATTCAACGCCTTGGCTGAATTGTAAATGGCTGAAAAAATTACAGTTGTCGACGAGAAGTCCGCTATGGACAGAATTAATCAATGGAAAAAACAGGAGTTATGTTGTGAAAACCTTGTGATAGCGGCGGAGTCTTTCAATTTGCTACATTTAGCATCATTAGTTCAAATTTATGATGATCTTTCAATGCTTGCTGAAAGATTAGAAATTAAAAATACAAAATCCTGGGTGATCTCTTTTATGCGAAGTAAGCTTAATATCGATCAAAAAGCCGAACAGAGAAATAGGTTGGGGTGCGACAGATTGCGCAAGTTATTTAATGATGGAATAACACCTGCGCAGCTTGCGCAAGCAGGTTGTCGCAAGTGTGATTTTTTTGTAAAGCAAAAATATTATGATATATTTTTGTCTCAAATTCCCGCTTGACAATCAATTACTTCAAGCCAACCAGATAAACGTATTTCTGAAATTATGTCGAATCAAGATTTCACCATGCAAGAAAGAAAAAGTGATGTTGTATTTAAATTGAGTTTAAGCGAAGAATTCAGAGATTTAAGGGAGAAGTTTAAAGGAAGTGAGTATATCGAATGGGCATAATACAGATTATTATTTTTATTAGTTATAATACAGATTATTATTTTTATTAGTTATAATACAGATTATTATTTTTATTATTTAGATTAAATTGCAGAACGTAAAATTAGGTATACGCAGTAGATTATGAAATGCAAATTGCAAAATTTTTATTACAATTAAAAGGTTTTATTTTGGAATTTATAATTCTTTTTTAATATTATGTAAAGTGGACAAAATTGTCCAAAAGATATATTACGTAAGTTGGGATAAATAATTGTACGCAGCATATAAGATATAACAAATGATTTAATTCTAAAAAATAAAAATATATATTACGCGAGTTGATAAGTGGACAAAATTGTCCAAAAAGGTATATTACGAAATAAGTGGACAAAATTGTCCAAAAAGATATATTACGAAATAAGTTGACAAAATTGTCCAAAAAGATATATTACGAAATAAGTGGACAAAATTGTCCAAAAAGATATATTACGCGAGTTGGGATAAATAAGTTGGACAAAATTGATATTTACGCGAGTTGAGATAAATAAGTGGACAAAATTGTCCAAAAAGATAGATCAACTTTATAATATTTAGTATAAAACGTACGTATTTTCAAAGTTCAAACTTTATCTATTTTTTTTTTTGGAAAATACTTTAACTTACTTTTTCTGGTTAACCGAAATTCATTAATATTCTCAAAATGTAACTATGTAAGTACGTGACTCAACATCCCTGAATACTCCTGAATTTAAAACCGAATTGTTGTTGACGAAATATTTCGCGCTTATTTTCATCATTTCATTTTTCGTTAGTCATTTATTTTAATATTTTAGGTTCCTAATTTTTCTTTGATAAAATGACAAGTTCAGAACCTTCAGAAAATCCAAGAAAAGGACATCGTTTTACGGAGATGTGGAATGGACATATGATAAAAGGAGTACAGAGGACAAGAGGGCACTACGCTGCGACATGTAGCTATTGTAACTTTTATTGGAAGGATGGGAAACCTCACGTTTTACGTGAGCACTTGGCAAATCATTGCCGAAAATGTCCGCAAGAAGTGTCATTACAGTTCGCAAAAATTGTAGGTAATGAAATAGCAGAGAACGAAGAAGATGATGAAAGCGACTCAGAATTAACAACTAAAAAACAAAGGCTCAATGATGGCCAAACATCCATCTGATCTTTTTACAAGAATAAAGAGTTAGAAAAAGGATATAGTGATGAAATACATCGTTCAATAACGAAAGCATTCGTAATGTGCAATATTCCTTTTAGCATAATTGAAAATCCTTGGTTTATCGATTTGATCAAAACTTTACAACCAGGATATGATCCTCCCTCAAGGCAAGTTTTGAGTGGTACTTTATTAGAATCTGAAACATCTCGCGTAAATATACGCATTATGAATGAATTAAGTGCTGACAATAACTTTACTATTGGTAAGATTTTTAATTTAAATTAAAATGAAGAAATTTTTGTAAAATATTGACAGTTTTGATATGTATTTATGTTCATTAGCGATGGATGGTTGGACCGATCCACACGGGAATAGCCTTTGGGCATTCATGTTAATGACTGGGTCAATAAAAGAATATCTTTTAAGTCTTGAGGATCTTTCAAATATTCGCCATACAGGAGAGCATTTATCTAACGTTATTGAGGAAGTTATCAATAAAGTGGGAGCCAAAAAGTTTGTTGCTATTGTGTCAGATAATGGCTCGAATGTTGCAGCAGCACGTAAGATAATTGCCAACAATTACCCAAATATCATTAATGTGCGATGTATCGCGCATTGCGTAAACCTGATAAGCACGTCTATTGTAAAAATAGATGAAGTTAAATATATAGTGAGATGTGCAAAAATTCTCACAAAATATTTTAAAAATTCTACCCTTGGATCATCATGGCTCAATGAAGCAATCAAAAGTAAAAATATTGAAGGCGGAGGGCTGAAGACTTACGTAGAAACAAGATGGACGACTGTCTATGAATGTGTACATTCTGTGTGGAGATTAAAAGATGCTTTACAGCACGTATGTTAATAAGATGAATTATTTTTTTTTTAAAAAAAAAAAATTTAATTTTATTTAAATTAGGTTCTGGAAAATCACGAACACAAAATTTCAAATCAAGCTATTAAAACTATTTTGAAAAAACGAGGGTTTTTTGATGATGTTCGCGTAATATCAGAAATTCTTAAACCGATAAAAGAGGCAATTCTTATGCTTGAAAGAACGTATACTACATTGGCAGATTGTTACCTTTATCTCCTTAGAATTGCAACCTTTTTTAAACAAATGCCAATGAATGATTACCGCTCATTAAAGAATTCTTGTATTAAAGCCTTTAATGAGTGGTAATATTCAAAATAATTTTAGTTTAATAAAAACTAAATAACTGAAGTAAGTAATCAAATTTCTTTAATAGATACAAAGAATTTGACAAAGATATTTACTTATTGGCTTTCTTTCTCCATCCGCAATATAAAGGTATTACTAATATAAGAAAAAATAATTAAATAAGATAAATAATTTATTCTTTATAAATATTGTAGGAGCGGGTATACACAATACTCAATTTGAACATATACAAAAAACTGCGCTTAATATTTGGAAGAATTTGGGTCATAAGAAAACTTCTGGTTTAGAACTTAAGGCACAGCTTCGCAAGTATTTGGACCAAGATAACCCTTATAGCGCACCATATTCAAATAATGATGGGCCTTTTCAGTGGTGAAACTTAATAATTGATGGGCGCAGCTCATTATCTCGTCTTGCAAAAATTGTTTTTTCAATAACGCCACATTCAGCCAGCTGCGAAAGCCTTTTTTCAGCCCTTGGATGGATGTTTGGTAAAAGGAGAACAAATATAAATGTGCAAACCATCGAATGTATGTCCAAAATTTATACTCATAATATTAATTCACTTACAAATAGTAAAAGATCCTTGAATCAAATTGGAAATAGCATATCAAATGACGATGTTCAAAAAATGATAGATAATTTATTTGAAGAGGGAGACATATTAAATGAGAATGAAGATGAAGAGGAGGAATATGAAGAGCCACCCAATATACAAAAAGAAAGTGTTGACGAGATGTTAAATATCGAACAAGTGATAGATTTGGGACCGTGGGTGTATATTGAATCTTCCGAGATTCCATTCATGTTTAATAATAAATATGATAGTGATAATGACGACGACTGGAATCCAGAAGAGATTGTTTAGTAATAATAAATTGTAATAAAAACAATTTTATTTTGTAATTACTAATAAAATATAAACAATAAAAATAATGATGATCCTCTACTTGATAAATAATAAAAAGTGGACAATTTTGTCCATTTTGTAAACTCATGAATCATGTTAATTTAATCTTCGCAATTAAATATAACCAAATTTATTTATATACTAAAAAGTGGACAATTTTGTCCATTTTGTAAACTTATGAATCATGTTAATTTAATCTTCACAATTAAATATAACCAAATTTATTTATATACTAAAAGTGGACAATTTTGTCCACTTATTCACAAATTTGCGATAATGTAAATTATTTGCAGATTTGCGGATTATTTGCGATACTATGCGGATTTGCGGGTTATTTGCGGTACTATAAATTATTTGCGGGTTATTTGCGGTACTATAAATTATTTGCGGGTTATTTGCGGTACTATAAATTATTTGTGGGTTTGCGGTTATTTGCGGATTTGCGGATTATTTGCGGGTTTGCGAATTATTTGCAGGTTTGCGAATTACTAAGCGCAATTGATTTCCAAAACCCGCAATATTGCGGATTTTGGAAATCAATTGAGGACCCATCTTTAACTGGCAACAATAACAATACGGATTTTATATTGAATTTCCCTGCCGCCTTCAGAACGCAAACCTTGATCAAAATCTGGACCACGGAATTGGAACAAAGAAGACAGCAGCCCGGCGAAGACGTAAACACATACGCCGCTGCTCTACAAGAATTATATAGAAGGGTGGAGACTAACGCCTTCGCATATCCAGAAGCTATTAAAGCTCGTAAATTTGTAAACGGGTTGTTGCCTGACTTGTACATCACCGTAAAACCACATAACGATCAAACCTGGAACGCTGCAGTAGACAGAGCGAAGGCCTATGAGTTAACCCATCAAGACCAACATGCGGTAAACGCCTATCTTAATAAATTCGCTCCTGCAGGCACTAATACTCAAACGGAAGACCTATACAAAGCCATTCA